CTGTTCAACATTAGCCACTTTTCTTGCTAGGATATCGCTGAAAAATTGGGATGCTGCCGTTCTTCGGCCCGCTTCACGCACCACGAGCGGAATGACGAGGGGAGTTGCAAGTCGTGTATTCCGAGCGACTGTGCCTAAGACGGACCCATGAAGCAGGCAGTGCAATGCGCAAATGCGGCCTAACCACCGATGGGCCCATTGCACCGTGCCCCGTTCCACGCGGTAGACATGGGCCGGGAGACTGAAGCTAAATCCGGAGTAGAGGGGAACAAGATGTGTGACGGCCAAGCATCCAGCTCGCTTCTGCACTTCCGCCCATGATCGAACATGAACGCTGACTGCAATGATGTTGGCAATTACCAGGGCCGCAACTACCCCCCTTGCAAGTATGATGGGATATCCAGCCACTGGAGCGGGCCTGGTGTTGGCGCTTGGAAAAAACGTCTCCAGGATATCGCGTGCTGCAACCTCAAAAGCCCGTGGCTGTATCGGCGCCCGAGGCTATAAGACAGCCAGCATACGAGAGCGAGAAGTCCACAGAGACTGAATATATCTTGGACGGAAGCTCTCGCAAGCCATTCGGCAAACCTTGAGGTGAGGCGGGGCATGCTTTTACGAGAGGCAGCACTGGACGTTAGCAGGTTTATATACTGTTTTTTCAGTGGTTGTTCAAACAACGCTGACCTAGTGCTTTCATTTGGACAGACAAACGCAGCTTGGGGGATTATGCGGCAATAATCGACACTGGTGAGAAACGACCAGAAAGCTCATATTATGGCTTCTTAGGATCAGGCGACAGATCAACAGTAGTGATTCACCATATGTCGATGGCAAAAGGTGCGTTTCGCCAAATTCATGTTCAACGTTGAACCACAATGTACAATTCTGCGGCTCCCATGTGCCATCAATATAATGCGGTTACTAATTATCTGTGATTCTAGTTCCAAAAATCGAAGTCGGTCAATATGCTGAGATACATGGTCGCTTTCCTGATTAGGTGCTGCTGTCTTTGTTACGAATATCGGGGAGGCGCCTGCCAGCAACGGCGAGGAAAGCACAAAAAATAGTACGTATGCAGGATCGAGCTGGCTATTGATTCTATATTTTCTAGTCTTTTTCCGGCTGAGCAACTCAAACAAATCAGTTGAGTGCAAAAAGCGGATGGGGTGCAATGCGATCTCGACACTGCCGTAGGAAGCGAAGTGGAACCTACCTTGTGACTTCCACCTGGGGGTTGGAAAGTAGGATTATTTCAACAGATCAAGTCATCTTCACTATCGATGCAATCCGCCGATGACTTGAAGACGCAAACAACGTTGTTCTTATACAAGGCGACCATGTTGCAGCAAACATGCCTTTGAGCTGTATTTCCAACAGAAAGTTAACTTAGTCTAGATCTTTGTACCGGGATCCTGATCTGCAAGCCTTAGTAGGAATCTCTTCGACTCCTTACTTCACGTTGGAGCGCCTCTGGGCGCGGACTAGATCCAGTTGGAGAGTAGAGTTGGCTGAAGGCGATTCATTCCAAGCATTCCCCTGATCCAATAGCGACGACCAACAAGAACAACTCTCTGTCAAACAATCTGAGTTCTTTGGCATGGAAACCTGTCAGGCGAAGACCACCCCGATGAATCCCAAGCAAGTTTTGAATCATCGTCCCGATGAAGCACCTCTAGACGAGGAAGGCAAAGCACGATATGCAACCGCCATCGGTTCGTTGATGTATCTGATGGTTGGAACGCGACCGGACATTGCGTTTGCGCTGGGCACGTTGAGTCGCTTCACGTCTCAGCCGCAATCGCACCACCAGGTCGCCCTGCAGCGATTGCTTCGCTATGTCAAAGCCACACAATACCATCGCATCACCTACCGTAGCGGACAATTAATTGGATACACGGATGCCGACTTTGGCGGCTCTGTCGTCACTGATGGGGCATACTCCACATCTGACTATGTGTTCCAACTTGCAGGCGCACCAGTTTCCTGGTCGTCCAAGAGACAGGGGGAAGTGGCCACGTCGACGACTCATGCCGAGTACATTGGACAATACAATGCCATTCTGCATTTGCAATGGCTCCGCACCTTCCTGGCCGAGACACAGTTGTATCGGTCTCCGGTCACCAACATCATGGCCGACAACCAGTCCGCGATTGGCCTCTCGCGCAATCCCGAGTTCCACAAACGGACCAAACATTTCAACGTGAAATTCCACTATCAGCGAGCCGTGCTGAATGCTGGCGAGATTGGTCTTCAATATGTTCCTACTGCGGAACAGGCCGCGGACGGTCTCACCAAGCCGTTGGGACCTACGGCTTTCGCCAAGTTCTGTGGTCTTGTAGGAATTGAAGCCTTGGAGACTCGGTGGCAACAAACGTGACAGCGCAGGCGCTCTTTCCACTTTATTTTCCCACGAAGGTTTTTGAGTGGTTTTACCGAGGCTTGCACAGCGTATCCAGTATCGCCTTGCCAGCAAAGCGATCCTGAGGGGGAATGTTGTGATATGAGGCTGGTGCAGATCAGGAACCAAGCCGCGCCGTCGGAATTAGATCCGAAGTATCTATACAGACGACCAAGTTGATTGAAAATCAACTTGGGTAATTCTTGTATATATAGGCTCATGTATCCCTCCGAGATAACAACTTAATTCATACCTCTGAACAACAACTCACATGCATGTCCCCAAATCTCGCCGCACGATCTGGCTCACGATTCCTCTTCAATAGATCAAGAATCGCCTGAGAATGGTAAATGGCCGCCTCGGGTTGCTTCACTTCGTCCAAATACTTGGCTCTTAAGTTGTCCATTTGCTCGATGGCCTCCGTGACTTTCTGTTGCTGTGAGGATACCGATCTCCTGCCATCGTGATCCCTAGAACGCCGATCTTGTTAGAATATTCAAACTGTTGACATCAAACAGATAAACTGAAACATGCATCATAGCTGCGCCATACACGCATTGAAGTGCCAAGTTGCAGGCGTCAAGTTGATTGCCTAAAGACGAGATTACCAGCGTAGTAGGTCTGAGCTCGTAGCATTCCATGATGCAGCAGTACAAAAGTGAAAAGACAGTGGTTATAACCCCGGATCTCAGAGAGCCCCACTGTCCCGGGTCGAGTTCTCTGATGTCCAGAAGAAGGCTGCTCAGGCGCTCCGCAGCCCCAGCAGTTTGTGTATTTTGAGACACTGCGTGCTGAAACACATCGAGACATCTTTGGGCTTTGACCAGACCCTGCAACAGAGCTACTTTAGTTGCGGAATCGATTTTGCCACCCAGATTGGGTGTTGGGGTGTCTTGCGAATGAGTGAATGAAATCGGATCGATACGCGTATAAATGTTACCGTGATTGACTCCCACCTGGACGTATTGATTGTTTGATGTAAATTCGAACGACATTGTCAAATTAGACCACAGGCCGTTAGATTCTGTTGTCAAGGAATGGTAGACCGGTCAGTGGAAGAAATGGGACGGGCGCGATCATGGATAGAAAATATGAAAAGGGTAGGACGGGGTACCTTTATTTATGTGTTTCCACACCCGCGGCGTTGCCTACTTCCGGATCAAGTCTGTTTCCTCAGGATGCACTGATATGGTCATTTGCAGCGGCTTACGTTTCTGGCGTGATCTCGCATGCGTGAAGTCAAGCAAAAATATGGCGGAAGCAGTGCCTTTGTAGATTTCTATGATCTCCGGCAGATTTCGGATTGCTCGTGGGGGAAGCGAAAGTCGAAGTATGAGTCTCATCTGACCAAACTAGAGGTTCGTCAGAGACCATGAATTTGCAAGTATGCTCATTTATTGAGGCCGAAAGCCTAGCTCAAAACATACCAACCCAATAGATGCCATCTTAGACATAGTATCTGGCCAATATGCCGTGCCATGTCTGGGCTAGAATATGTGGGCAACCAGTTTTGAAATGACAAGCTCCTGAATTTTGAGTCTACCTTTCAACGTCTCACCAGCTCCCATTTCACCACACTGTTGAAGTTCCATGACCAAACCTATCCCAATTCCATGTCATTGTGGGTTAAATTTGAGGGCAGTGTACACATGGTGAAGTGTTGAGTTGTGGGATGTCTGTACCTCTACCATACAGCATATCGATGTCTAGAAGCGTAGTCATATCTATTGCCCTGCTACATCAGTACTTTCTAATTTATGAGCCTCGGTTTCATGAAGATGCACTCATATGGTGTAAGTAGCCATAAGTCCAGTTTCAGAAATTCTGATACGCGAAATCACAAAGACAGCAGACCTAGGGGTTCCTGGAGATCTAGAAGCTGATCTACTTGATCACCCACAACAGACCGTAGTCATTTTCCGGGACCGGGGATCGATTTTTTGCTAGGTCAAATTCCATCAAACTTGGTGTTTTCAAAGTAATCACAACAGTGATCCACGAAATAGCGTAGCCCGGGGAGATCATACTTACCTTTCCACCATCACTATCAAGAAACCGGTCACGTTCCTGTTAACGGCTCCATCAGTGCTAAGAGCACTCATCTTAGCCCTAGGAGCTGTCTTTCTCCCGAAAGCCTGTGGCACTTTTGAACCGCAAAGAAGGGACCTATAGGAGCTCGTGCTTGAGCCTAGGAGCCAGGCACCCATACAGGGGAGTCTAAGCCCTTACCATCTTTCGGTGACTAGGGGTCATTTGATTTTCATTGAGACCACCACCTAGCTTGATCTGTGAAATGATTCACATAGTAAGGGTCGGGTAAACAATTCCCGCTTCCCAGGAACCTGAGCCATTCCTTGATTTTTCCCGATACTTCAAGCCACGCGGGATCCAAAATCATCCTGCGTCTGGGATCCGAATATATATAAGACAGTAAAGACCTATCTTCCGTCTCTCGGTCTTCCGTTCAAGTCACCCACCAGACCAACTCCACACAGAACAAATCGTACTCCCGCTCCTTTTAGCCCATTACCCCAATGTGAATATACCTGGCCCCTGATACTACACGACTTGAGACGTGAGTTGATATTAACGTGACCTATAGATGCTTCTCCTCGATCTCCCTCCTGAGATTATTCTTTGTATAGCACACAAGCTAGATCAAGCGAGAGATTTGCTTATGCTGGCTTGCCTCAATCGAGCCACAAATGCTCTTTTGCTCGACTATTTGTTCAAGTTCAACGTCCGACGCCAACGCAGCTCTGCCTTGTTCTGGGGTGTTCTCCAGGGCAAGTCGGAATTTGTGGAAATGATGTTGCACGGCTATCAAGCGGATGCCAATACCGCAGACGATAAATATCGCACACCGATCTTTTATGCAATTCTCGCTAAGAACGAAACAATGATTCGCACGCTTCTGTTTGAACAGAGAGCAAGTATCAATTGGCAAGACCACCGCAGGCAGACTCCACTGATATACGCCATTGAAAAGAATTTGCTGTCTACTACATCACTTTTACTCGATTTTGATCCAAGTCTGAATATAAGGGATGCCAAGAAACGGTCTGCTATTTGGTACGCCATCGCTCGCTGCGATGAGAACCTGGTGCAAGTCCTTCTGGAAAGGGGCAGTGATATACGAACGCCAGATTACAAACAATTTACACCATTCAGGCTTGCTGTTGCCAAGAAAGCCCCGAGAATTACTCGACTGTTACTTCTCCATTCGGATCGAAATTTACGAATGGCCCTACTGGAGAATGTCACTACCAGAAACCGTCTGCTCTGCCAGGCGGTACGGGCAAGCCTTCAAGATTTCGTCGCGCTACTGATTGCCCATGGCGCAGATCCCAATTCTAGAAATAGAGATGGCCGGACCCTATTGCACCAAGCCACAGAAAATAGCGATAGCGGGATAGTCCAACAATTGCTCGCCTATGAAGAGATCTCAGTTGATGCAACGGACAGGCACTCCTGCACTGCTCTTCATATCGCAGCAGAGTATGGATGCACGTCGGTAGCCAAATGCCTGCTGGCCAAATGCGGCTTAGACTCCAACGCAAGAGACATATACGGTCGGACTGCTTTCCACGTCGCAGCAAAATATGGCAACAAATCGATCACAAAGCTTCTTTTAGCCTATGATGCTGTGGATATCAATGCTCTAGATTTGAATGGAGAAACAGCACTCTGCTTGGCTGCCGACGCAGAACACACAGCTATAGCTCTACAGATTCTAGCAGAAGATCATGTGGACGTTAACCTGGCCGGTCAAACTAGCAGGACAGCTCTTCATCATGCAGCGAGAACGAACAACGTACCAGTCGCATGTGTCCTTCTCGGCACTGAAAATCTCGATCCCAATGTTCGTGATGACCATGGATGGGCCCCTCTTACCTACGCTGCTTCCAACGGTGATATACGCATGGTGGAACTCTTACTCGCAAGAGAAGATATACAAGTGAATGTGCAACAGGCCCCTCCACTATTTCGTGCTGCCGAAAAAGGTCATCTGGAAGTTGTACGCCGATTGCTTTCCTGTGATACCATCGACATCAATCAGCAGTTTTGGAACAGCTCGCCTCTCTGTGTTGCCTCTGAGATGGGCCACCCGGAAATTACAATGCTACTCCTTGAACACACAACACCACCCGACATCAATCTGAAAACTTATATGGGAGACACAGCACTTTCCCTGGCCGCTTACCATGGTCATTTGGCTATCATCAATCTCTTGCTGGAAGAAAGTGGACTGAATGTTACCGCTACTGATAAATTTGGGGATACGGCGTTATGCAAAGCCGCTCGGAATGGACACGAACAGGTAGTCAGGCGTCTCTACAGAGACACTCGTGCAAAATGTGCTAGTGATGTGAGAAGGGCGATTGGGGCAGCTTGCAACTGTAGAATTGCGCTCTACCTTGAAGGTCACTTGAATGATCAAGGCAACTTTTGCACTTGGCCTTGAACCATACACAGGCTGTTCTTGCTTTGTTGGGTTTCATTCTTTCAGCGTCCGGCACCATACACCTCTTCTCAAATTGGCTCTACTTGCACCATATTCTCTTGCGTAAGGCAGACTATGCGATGAACAGAAATATGTCATACTTTAAGCTACAGCTCAACATATATTCCATGCCATGTATAGTGAAGAAGTTCGAGGCTCTGACGAATTATATGGTTTACTCGTATCTCCTCTGAATATAGTTATAAATGCGGTCGATAATATTTCTATCGCATTAATCGTGTTACTTATCTATTGTAGTTTGCCTGTGTGTTTATTCACCCTTCAATGTGCAGCCTTTGAATATAATCTTCTGCTGATTGTTGCACGCGCGGTGAGAGTCTAGAGGTAGAGTGGTTGTCAGACGGTATTCACTGATAGCGAGGTAGCCCGCAGGATCTTTTGACGGTAATCTGTGCCCATGCTCGATAAAAATGGAAATCGGTACTCTGAAATAAATTTAGTTTCCCAGTGTAACCGTGAGAATAATCTAGAATGCTTAACGGTCCAATCCTCCATGTCATTCATACCATATGTAAGCACTAAAAGACTTTAGACCATGGTGTGACGCTGGTACTATCAACACGCAGCTGGTACTATCAACACGCAATTTGTTCGTGGCTTGTAAGGCTTTCCATTGTCACTACCAAGGAATCAGTCTCGTCCCGAGAGATAAACTTATCCGCACTGGGAACATACGTCTTGACCCTGGGGGCTCTCTTGCTCCTGGAGACTTTAGTGCGGTTTCTGGGGGCAAAGAAGCAGCTTCCAGGAGCCATGTGGGCCCCAGGAAACCTGATGTAGCTTCTGGGGTCTTGTACCTCCACCTCGGGGAACCAAAGTCACGTTACTTTGGACAGTCTTATCAATTCATGGAAACTCATGTGTGGTTCCTGGGGCTATGGCTAAGCCTTCTGGGAGTGGTTGAATTTCTCACATTTGTGCGTAGGTTTGTTGAAAAGTTTTTGTAAGTTAACAACCTACCTTGGGAGGCAGAATATTGATTGACTCTAGGGTTCAAAGATGCTACCTTAGTAGTGCAACGGCTCCCGGACCCAGTAAACTGACTCTGGGAACTATTACATTGATCCTGGAAACGCCAAAAGCAACCCTAGGAGCTGTTCGCTCTCTGGGAACCTGTCTTTAGCTCCTGGGGCCATTTTCCGTTTCCAGGATACCGAGTTCTACCCCTGGGATCTCCACTATATGATCCTGATTGAATCCGAACTGGTTTTGGGAACACATTGGCTAGATCTGGGAGCTGTCGCGCTCCTAGAACCCTACTTCTGGACCCTAGAATCAATATTCTGCCTTCTGAGCTCGCGGAAAGCCCTCACAAGACACCTTCACCGGACCTGCGCACAAACCTGCGTAATTTGCTACTCCCAAAAAGGCAAAGCTATAGCCCCAGGAACCGCACTTGAGGTTCCAGGAGTTGGTAAATCTGTAAACAGGAACATGACTTTGGTTCCCCGAGGTGAAAGTACTAGATCCCAGAAGCTACGTCGGATTTCCTGGGGGCCACATGGCCCCCAGAAACCGCACCAAAGCCCCTGGGAGCAAGAGAGCTCCTAGGGCCAGGATGTGCATTTCCAAGCCCTCGGAACGGAAGTCAAGAGCTTCAAAAGGGAATTGGAAACCATGCGATCCTGCAGATCGGATGCTCGCAGCAGCGAACAAGACAGATAGTTCGACCATGATCACACAGATATCTATAAGGCCCCACCCGAAGTGGGTACGTGCAGTTACCGCCATTCAATTCCCTGCTTTCCATCTTCGGGATCGCCCTTGCAATCCAGCCAAGATGCCTGCGAGAAGACCGCAAGTAGCGACTTTACTACGTCTGCACTCAGCTCGTCGCCGGCTTGATCGTTCTCGCCTTGGAGGGCTATTTTGCCATGTTCATAGTGCTCAGGCATCATTCGGGTTATTTGACAGTGAGGGTTATTTTCCGTACTACAAGATTATGTATTATGGAGCCGTTGGCCAGGCGGCTTTCGGAGTTTTATCGGTCATTATGTCTCTCGTGCCTTTTGCCATGTGCGCCTTACGCGGACACTAGCAGAGTGCGCACACGGACCTATGAAACAGTCACAGAGGGTTCCATCGACCTCCTAAAGTAGGGGTGAGGAACTAGTCAACTGGTAAAGGAATGGAGTCTACTGCAGAGTTGGTGAGATAATTTACCAATTGAATCTCTTGATTGAAACCAAAGCATGTTCATCGCTTGATCTGGCTAGCCAACCAATCGTGGCCAATATTGGAGCAGTATGCTGGGTGGCTTGATGTAGCAAGCAGGTGATGGTTGACGACCTGCTGTGCGTAAATAACCCTCAACCTTGGTGGCCGCCAAGATTTCAAAAGCCGACCGGAGAAATGAGCTGCCCAAGGATCACAAAGCCCCAGATAATCGTACGTAGCTTGCAGAATCTCCATTCCCATCCTCACAAAATCAGTCACACGCCTGTTGACAGTTCTATCGGCCCTGGGGATGCATATCTTGGCCCTAGGAGCTCTCTTGCTCCCAGGGGCTTTAGTGCTGTTTTTGGGGCAAGAAAGCAGCTTCTAGGAGCCATGTAGCCCCCAGGAAACCCGACGTAGCTTCTGGGGCCTAGTACTTTCACCTCCTGGAACCTCAAGTGCGGCTCCTGGGGCTATGGCTAAGTCTTTCCGGGGGTAACGAATCACGCAGATTTATGCGCAGGTCTGGTGAAGGTTTTCTGTGAGGGCTTTTGGCGACCTCAGAAGGCAAAATACTGACTCTGGGATCCTGAAGCAGGGCCCCAGGAGCGCAACAACTTCCAGATCCAGCCAACTTGTTCCAAACCCAGTTCATATTTCATCAGGATCGTATCGTAGAGATCCCAGGGGTAGAACTCAAATTCCTGGAAACAGGAAATGGCCCCAGGAGCTAAGACAGGTTCCCAGAGAACAAACAGCTCCTAGGATTGCTTTTGGCGTTTCTAGTATCAATGCAATAGTTCCCAGAGTCAGATTTACAATGACTGTTGACTAATATAGATGGGCTAGTTTTGCTACGTCGTGAGCCGGTACGGATACATACAGGAGAAAAAGCGTCTGATTGAACTATACATGTACAGAGACCCCAATAAAAGCATGCCGGTGATATGATAAAAGGCCACCGGCGTATACTCGAGACATTGATATTCTCTAATGGAGATTCTATGGTCGGAACACGTGTGTACCGTGGAAGATTCTTTCTTTGAAATCGATTGGGATGCTCTTTATCAACACCTACGGCCCGCCTCTACCCTCCCCTACATCGACGCTTCGGGAGAGCCCCACACGATCAAATTTCTAGAGCATGATACAGCGATGGAATTGAAGTCGGATGCCCATATCTCATTTGTTTTGTGGAATAAAATGTATAACTTCGAGCCAAACACGCAGTTTAATGGCAGGGTGTTAGACAGATACGAATGGAATCTTTGGGACGAGGTTGACTGTGCTTCCAAGCTCCCCTTTCAACGTAGCATATGATCAGATATATAAGTTTCAGTCAAATCAGGTCTTCCCGCATTTGCTCTTAGATCAAATCTTGGAAATCCTTGCGACGCCTCCCATTGTGTACTTCTTGGGGAAAATAAATGGACGCATAAATCTTTTCTACCTATTCCTGTTGTCAACTACTGGTATCAGTACGTGTTTGATTGGGATAGTAAATTCACGCCATCGGACTTTCAACTACGAATCCTTAGGCTTCGGTGAAGCTGAACGTGGCATTACTGTGAATAAACCTGTTCAACGGAGGGATGCAGATAGTTAATTCCGAGAGTTCATGGCAAGCGATGCTGAGAACAGCCTTCTGGTGTTGCATCACAACATATGTAGATGTTCCTAACTGTCCAGACCACCAAAATTCATCCTCGGAGACCGCCTCAACAATGTTTGATGAGAGTTGTCGGCTTCTGTTCTGTTCTGGATAGCCCTCTGGATGCAATTGTCTCTTGCTAGCTCAAGAGATCTCTTCAAACTGAAGCATTGGAGTCTGGTGTTTGCCAAAAGAGCATTAACAATCGAGATATGACCACCCTTGACTGCCAACATCAACGGATCCTCGAAATATTCATTCCGAAGGTTGACATCAATTTGGTGATGGGACAAGAGTGCCTGGACCATCTCCAAGTCACCACCACGGGCCGCAATGCAGAGTGCAGTGTCGTGGGATACGATCGTGCTTTCATTGATGTTCAGACGTGTGCGTTCTTTCTGACGCACGTGACATCACGCGACCAGACCGCGGCATTCGCACCAGCAACAGAGATATGAAGTTTTGGGGCAAGCTTAGCAACCGAATGAATGAAATCCTGATCGTTGACTCCAAGCACTACGCGACTGATTCAGATTTGCAAGTACGAAATGCAAATGAGCCTAGAAATCCCATTGGGAGTTTGCTTCAGTCTAGATGTTGTAGCTGGAAGCCGAGTGCCAGTAGATCAAAAGCGCAGATACCTAACGGCGGCGGCCAAAGTAAAGCCGACAGCGAGTTCAGCTGAGCCTGATCGGGAAGACGGACCGTATTGGCAGAAAAACAGCTCGCGGGTCGGCTGGCGAGTGAGTCTCGACAACTCTATCCGTACCGCCTCACGACGTAACGTAATAAAACTAGCTCATCTATATTAATCAACAACCATTGTTAATCTGACTCTGGGACCTACCAAATTGATTCTAGAAACGCCAAAAGCAACTCTAGGAGCTGTTTATTCTTTGGGAACTCCTCTTTAGCTCCTGGGGCCAATTCCTATTTCCAGGATACCGAGTTCTAAGTTACCGCTGGGATCTCCACTATACGATCCTGATTGAATACGATCTGGTCTTGGGAATACATTGGCTGGATCTGGGAGCTGTCACGCTCCTGGGAGCCTACTTCTGGATCCTAGAGTCAATATTTTGCCTTCTGGGGTCGCGGAAAGCCCTCACAAGACACCCTTCACCTGACCTGC